GATCAAGTTAGATATTAACACCGTTAGCTACCGTCTCAGTGGTCCGATGGTTGGGCGCTCGCCTACAGTACCGAAGGTCCTGGGTTCGAATCCTACGGGGTGCAGGGGTCGTGGGTGCGTCCTGCTGAGGAGTCCCATACCAGGACGAAAAGGCCGTCCAGTGCTTCCAGGTTTCTAATGGTGGTCTAACATTGATCGATTCATAGTTTCAAAAATATAAGTTTTTGTTAAAACTGACCAATCAAATTGAAATTTACATAGTTCATTTCACGTGTGCTCTCTGTTACATCCACTTCCTTTAGTTGTATTATCCGAAGCGAGAGCCACCGGACTAACACAATTTCATATTCATTTGGAATTATGTTATTCCAGTCAAATTATTTGAAAAATTTTGTTTTCACAACTTTCGAATTGTCTAAATATGCATTGAAGATATTGGATGGCATTTGACAATATGCACTTTTACTTCACGTAACCCTTAACACTTACCATTTAACTATAATCTATAAAACAAGTTAAATGTTAAGTCAGATTAATAAAATCTAAAAAAAAACTAAAGGGAAATTAGAAACGCGCTCTCATCAATATTGAATAAAATTAGATAAGAGGAACAAGAGAAAAACAATACTGAGAAGAGAGGAAGAAACTAATAAACTACTCCAAGTATTTATACAATAGTCCACATATACCTATATATATCTATATATCTATCTATATATATATACTCATTTATGGTAGAATAAAACAGAATGCATCAAATAAATCAAGATTATCCTAAATTGATTATTGAATTGTAATTACTTGATTCAATTGTCGATAAGTTTATCTGATAAAGAAAAAAAATAGAAGAAGAAGAAGAAGAAGAAGAAGGAGAATAGTTTTAGTTCCTTTTGCATTGTTTCTGCCTCCAATCGTCTAACTCACTTTCTCACTTTCTTCGCTTCACATAAGAAGAAAAAAAAAATTGAGTTAGTTCAATTAGAGCGCTATCAGTTTAATTGATTCTGTGAAATGCTATTTTTTTTTCTTCTATAACTAAGAGTGAAATAAAAATAATAATAATAATGAGCATCAAAAACACAAAGTTATTGTGTTTATTGAAAATAAAACTATGCTTAACTTTTCATTGTGTGTTTAAAATCAGTAATTATCAATTGAAAGAAAGAAAGAAGGGAATGAGATAACAGTAAGTGCCACATTTGTATATACAAGATAGATGTTTTGGTGTCAGCAAAATGTAAGATAATCCTATATTGGATAATATCGAAAAAAACTTGGACTTTCTCTTTACACAGGATACATATACATATATTATTAAGTTTGCAGGTAGTTTTTAATTGATAACAACTGGTGGCTCATTAATTGCATTAATACACTCTTATTGAAACATGTGTTTTGATGGATACGTTTCATATGGAGTAAAATTTAAAGCCACAAATTGACGAATATCATTTGTCACAGTGTATGTGTATCAATGTAAACGCAGACAACTGTTATTGTCATCAAACAAAGCCTCTAGCTTTGGCTATAGTCGTATAAATTGTGTTCTGTAATTATTCAGAATTACTAAAGATGGACAGATGCTCATTGAAAATATTGAAAACAGATTTTACAGTTATATTTGAAATTTTCACCTTCTTTAATTTAACTATGAAATAATCAATCATATTGGATTATTTTTTGTTGAGCATCCTTTGTTTAAATGTACACGTTTGTTTGAAGAGCTGTCGAAATAAACTTGAATCATTTTGGACAAAACCATAGTTTTATAATGGATAGATCTTGATTAATAAGTTAATGAACAGTTTAACCAAAGTCCATAGAGTAACAACTTGTTGATTATTCTATTGAAATCACATTCATTAGACACACTTGATTGTTTTGTGTGTGTGTGTGTGTGTGAAATCAAGCAGCATTGTTATGCAGATGGGTGATTGTTAAAAACTATGTCGAACTTACTCTTGAGATACTTTCCAATTAGCATCAGTTACATCATTCAGTACTGTGAGAAAAAAAATCGATTAAGGTTTTTTTTAATATCTACACTGGCACCTCATCATTTTGTTTAGATAGAATACAATACGTTCGGTGGGCTTCAAATTATTTTTTAGCAAGAAAAAGTAAACTTGTGTAAAACATCAATTCATATTGTAAAATGAAGTTTACATTTTTCTAGGCAAAAATGTTTGACTAAAATCGAGTAAGATAACTGTGGGAAAACTGTTAATTCGAGTTTCTGGCATACTTTTTATCATAGTAGACAAGTTTCTTTTAGTCAGTAAACATTAACTTCATTCTTTTTCAGTACCAAAGACCTTTGCCTCTGTCGTATTTACATACAAAAGGGAAGTGACTACACAATGCAAAATGGTTTTATTCAAATTTTACAGTGTTTTTTTTTATACAACTAACTATCTACTACAGAATTACATTAATTAAACTGTCTTGAAATATGTGTATTACCGTTTGTGTACTATATTTCATAAGTGCTATAAGGCAAATTTTTATTTACCCCTTAAGGATTTAATTGTCAAGTTGACGTGGATAATTAAATTCTTTTTTTTTTGTTTGTTTGTTTCTAAACAAAATAAAGCTTTTACTTTGAAGTATAATTCAATTTAGCTATTAAACCTTTTCATAATAATCATTGATGTTGGTCGTTTTGATCGAAACCTCTACAGTTTAAGAATGATGAATACAAAAACGATTTCATTTAGAATTCCATCCAGAGTTGAATTCAGCCCACTAAATGGTATAAGTGTATGTCATGCTGATTGTACTAAATTCATTACTTTAAGACCATAGTGAATCTGTTCGCTCTTTATTCATCTCAATCGCTGCCTATTAATTAGATCACTCAAGATGTAATAGTTTTGGAATAGAGGAATTTTCTAATAATATTCATTGAATAAGCAGTGTGTATTTATTGTTCCATGGCAAACACTAGCGAGTAATGATTCTGAAAATGCTTGGTAAATCATATAAAGTTTAACACATCACAAAACTATGTTCAAAGTAAAAATTTAGAGGATTATTTCAATAGACAACAAATGGAATCATTTATGTTTCTATCTGTATTCCTGATCATCCAACTTGGTTGTTCTGACAAGTCAAATGTTATAACTTTCTCTATGTCGGTTTTCACATTATTATCTGATACAATCATTACATAATAAGTCAATGAATACGCTCAAAATTCAGTTCGTAAAGCAGAAACCTTCGTATTTAGTAGTTGCATGTATAATTTCGTTTGAAATGTAATTGACAATGTTAAATCTTGTTCTGTGTACAATTCTCAGCTTACCACATTGTAGTAAACTAAATATTGGTCTTGCAATTCTACTGTGCAATCAAAGCAGTCATTGTTCACTTGTCGAATCGCGTAATTTTGGTGTATTATAAAGCTGACAGGTGTTTATTTATTTGGAATAAGATTACGAGGGTTTACGTATTCATATGAATTGCTTGTATATAAAATTCACAACAAGTGAAATGCGCATATAGAGTGTCACGTTAGACCATAAAGATTCCCATGAACATAAGGTTTCGATTTGAAAAAAATTCAACATCTTGCAATCTCTATAAATTGTTATTTTTCTGGTTAGAGTTTTGAAAACAAATGCACGCAATATCTCAATTTTAAGTATGCATGGTTAAAAATTGACATATTTTTCAACTCAGTTCATTTAATTTCTAGTCGAAAGCACATTAAATGTAAGGCTACCAATATAGAATTCTACCGGATCTCTGAATTGTGAATAGTTGGTTATTAACTAGGACGGTTCAACTATTGAAACGTCCCATGTTTTAAAACATCCTCTAAAAATCTAATCCCTATATTTTTCATCTGAACTATATGATTGAGATAAATATCTATTTGTTTTTCCTCTTATCCAACGGAAGTTGCTGCTATTCACAGGTTTATTAACTAAACAATTTTGTTAAAATCAAAGGTTTTCCAATTTACTTAAAATTATCTAATTATACCTGAGTGGTTGTCTAGTGCCATGTCATCTATCTTAATGTCAACCAAGTACATAATTACACTTAATTATGTTCTATCTGTAACAGAATTTGCACAAGAAGTATTTGAACTAATTTGGTCGATAACCACTTCTGTCAATCGGGTTTGATGAGTCGATCCACTTGTGTAATAAAGATGAGACGAAAATTCGATCAAAGGTTCCCTTGTGTATTTCACATCAGTAGTGTACATACAAGCTGCTTAGTAATCACATGGTCTATGAATCAACTATTGACATCGTCGTTAATATTTCTGGATAAACCTTTTAAAAGTAAGTAAAATGTGAATAGATATTTACAGATGGTAAGTGCTCCAAGTTTGTGTGCCTTTCTCCATGGCACAAACCGTAACATTGAACGGAATCTGGCAAAGTCTCTGTGCATCATTATATTGGCGTGCCGCATTTTGAAAAACGATTTTACTGCTTACATGTCTGATCCTTTCTCTCTCTCTCTCTCTCTCTAGAACTAATCATCTCCGAAACCGCTGCAGCAAGATTCAAACAAATACTTCGTACTTTAGTTGGTGAATAATAGTAATTTTAAGGTTCTATTATTTTCATATTCAGTTCGTCTAACAATATTTCACTTTCTTAACAATTAAAGTACTTAAGAGTTACAGTCGATGAATATGTGAAGTTATGCACTGCTAATAAATATGATAATAAAATATCCTTCCCCTTCCCATATAAAAAGAAAATATTAACAGTAAAAATGTTACTTCCTTTGACTATTATGATTAATTCTGTTTTATTCACTGCCAGTCGACAGTCTAATACTTATACAGTGAGAAAATGTTACTACACTCAATTCTCTCTGACATTTATAAGATTTAGGGATAAAAATATAAACTTAGTACGATACACTGCTATAGTTTCATTCATAATAACTCAATACCTGTTGACTTGGTGTCATTTTATTAACAGGTTTTATGCAAATTCTTCATAATTTTATATCGATCTATGGAGATAATTTCAATGATGGATCCGAAATATATCATTCTTTTATCATTTGTATGCTCAGCACCTTTCAATGGTCTAATGTTTAGTCATGCGTCAACCGAATCACGATTCATAAGGACACGTAAGGGAGTTGCAGCTAATGTGGCCGCATCGGCTTCGTCAAAAACGCAACCAGTACCTATATCAACTCAGTCAACAACAAGTAATCGAGTTTCAACATGTAAGTTTTCAAAAATAATATTGAAAATGTTTGTTTGTTTTTTATCAAAATGACCAAAGTTTAATAATCTTTATTAGTTGCCAAGTTGCCCAAAAAAAACAACCTACATACAAATTCACAGTTATTCCTTAAAGTATAATTACGGCTTATTTATAAAGCTGTCGTCTTTTTAGATTTAACTAACTCTACGTTTATAAAAAAATTTGTGCATTAGTGAAATTATTTATTAAACTATTCGTTCTATTAATAAGAGTAATATGTAAGAATATCCTTTCAATCTGTGATAATTATAGCTGTCTTATCATTATACAATAAAGATGAGTTGAAAAATGATATAAGCAGATGTAATTTTGGACTTAATGTAATACAAATCGCTTGACCGCTTATCTAATTAGCGTTTAAAATTGTACATTAGAAAATTTTTAATGTTTGTTAAACAACTATCAACTGTCAGTCACATGAGTATAAAGGCAAACTCTCTCTTAATTCTGGTTTGAAATTCCACATTTTTTTCATCAATACTACTACGTTTTGATTGACAGTGTGTGTGTGTGTGTTTCGAATTGTATTTAAAAACAAAACTGATCGACTGAAAATTCAAGTCCAAGATAGATTATTAGGGGGGGGGGGGTTTAGTCATGATACAAGTGAACTTAAGATCACATGATTTGATAATCCATGTAATTTTAAATTTTAATGGATTACTGAAATAAATATTACCAACAATCTCATTCCTTGTCCATGATGACTAGACCTCAGCGTATGAAGATCCTTGAAAAAAGGCTCTCACAGTCACATCGGGATATTCTAGTGCATAAGTAACCGAACAGAATCCATTATGTAAGCTGCAATTAAATTTTTTACTTAAAACTATTGTTAGTATTTCATTAGGTGAACAATGTTGTGTGCCACCAAAATCCACTATTCATATTAACATGAAAGTCATGCCATTTTTGATTTCTTTAGTTTCATATGACGAACCATTATTTACAATAAGTGATTCGAATTTGTGGAGTGGTTCATTTACAGCAGAAGAAAAACTGGTCGCTCAACTTTTAAATCGAGGAAGTTTAACAGTTCGACCAAATGGTTATATGAATCAGTCTACAAATCCTGTACACGTTAATATAACTTATAATGTTGTACAGATTCTTGGATTTGTAGGTTTACTTTTATTGTTACTGAGTATTTTGTGGTCTATAATGTCGTAGAGGAGGATTCTTTTCAGAAGTGTTTAGATAGAAGGACAGATAAATTGATATAAACTTACATTTAAAATCCATACTAATGTTGAGAGATTTATCTGACTTACTTAAAAGTTTTCACAATACCATCATTATAAGGTTTTAATGCCTGTCAAGAAATAGTAGCTCAGCGAAGTCATTAAACATTTTAATAACAGCCTAATTCAACAAAAAACGTAGGAATTCATTTTCGCTGTGCAGACCTATTTCTGAATTGAACGAACAAAGAGAGGTGGTTATATCTTTTCTCTGATAAATATGGTTGTATTTATTTTATTTTAAAAACGTAATAGTAACGAGTAATTTTGGATTCGATATGATGTCAGGAATTGTATCAGCTTTTGAGACTTGATAAGTGTGATAGTGTTCAACTGGACTCTAGAAACCTCACTGTAATTAGGCGTTCTTAAGCAAGACCTTCGTAGAGAAAGATTCCACAACGCTTCACTCAGTGTTTCCCGCAAGTACAATAAATAATCGTCCGATCTCGAAATTATCTATAACTATTCTGTAATGCGTATGCTCGTTCAGCTAAATGTTTCCAGATGACTGATTTAAATAGAATGGAAACACTTGTAGAATTAAAACCTCAAAAAGGTCAGAAAAAAGGCATGGAAATGGTTTGTGGCACGATTTAAAAGAATTTTTGATCAGCAGTCAATATCAAGATTTTTTTGTTTAAGTGCATTAGTTCTAACAGTTTGATGGATGAATCTTTAGATAAATAAAGGAAATTTTCATAATGTATGATCGAAATCAGCAAACTCAGCAAAGCCATGCATTTTAGAGGTTAAGTATACTCATATTACTGAGTTCTATTTTTTGTGTAACTAGTGCCGCTTGACGATGGAAGCCTTGAGAATAATGTTGAAGTATTTAATCGATGCTAATTTTGTTGTTGAATATACGGCACAAATCCAGTTGCATGGAATCTTGTGGATTTAATTTGAATAGGAATACGATTTTAAAAAAAACAGACTAAAAATACATTAGCTCTTGCAGTAAGGAGAAGTTGGAGATGTAGCAAACACATTTATTGTTTTTTTTTTGTATTCTGAGAAACATACTTTCCACTACATCAGGGTAATGCATCTTATGTATACTCAATCAATATATTTTTGAGTATCATCGTACACCGTCATGTTTTGCTGAATCTTAGATTGAATTCTACTAATAATTATATTAAAATTAATTTCAAAAACACATAATGTTCAGAAGAAGTATCATGTTTTGTAGTGCTAGATACCAAGAATGTTTTATACATCTGACATGATCGGTATTATAATAATAATAAATAACCACTGAAAAGAAAACGTTTTGAGTGTTATTTACTAAAATTTTTATCATTTTAGTCACAAGCCGAAGAAACTCTAAGCATCTCTGGATGGTTTACTATGGTAAGTCTTTCAAAACATTTTCCAATATCCAGTTACAAGAATCAACTCCATTTTTTTTAGTGGAACATTTATCCTCTATTTATTTGGAATATCGTTTGTAAAATTAACATTTTTCAGAAGGTAACACTTCAAGTAGGCATTAACTTTATAATGTAATTACAGTAAACTGGGATTATGATTTGAATAAAGTGGAAAAAATAATCCTCCTATTTGACTGATTTCCAAACGGATTTTTGTTTGTTGGTGATGTTAGGACCCCAAAACTCTCTTGATAAATATCTTTATTTTGGATTTATTTCATGGACCGGTCAGTTGACCTTGAGATCACATTTCCCATCAGGAAAATCCTTGGCTCTGATTGGTTACTGTGTCATTTTAGTGCGCTATTTTTGTGATTGTCTCAAGGACGTCTCTACAGAGTATAAATAAACGCGATTTGAGTGCTTGGTTTCATTGTGTGTTGGCTGGGTCTTTGTAGAATACGATTTCTACACTACATTAAGACTTCTTGCTGATATCTTTTGGTCAAGGGACCACAGTAGCCTACCTGGACGCTGGTTCATTGTTTAGTTCACGTTATTCGACTAAGGTGAACTCGTAATAGTTTTAAGCAGACCTAGAGACAAGCATAACAGTGTTGACTGGTTTTGGTAACTCATTCGTTTTCTTGATAAGACATCCTCTAAGTTTCACAATTGTGGTTGATGACCACCGGTAGAAGTTGTAACCTTGGCAATGCGAAGTAAACTTATACGATGCTGGAAACTGTCTTCATGTAAATTTAGATAAATGCTGCCTGATAAATGAGTGATTACTAAGTGTATAAAACAAGACGATGAACTGTTCATTTTCATCACAGTTAATCTTATCTCGATAAATTTCTTTAAGTGTTATTTTGATGAAAATACTATTTTCTAATGCCGTTTTTTACGTTCAATAATCCATATTCTAATTTAAAAACAAAATTCTAATTTTCAGTGAATGAGAAACTTTAAATTAATAAGTTAGTTGAGCGTTTTTTTATGTGCCTCAATTACTTGGAAATGAAAGAAAATTTATTTTACCCTAATCAGCTTTGTTCTGACTCAGTAACAATTGGAAAAATTTATTTGCCTGACTGAAGATATTCTATTTGGTTTTCAAGATTATGAAGGTAGTCAGAGTGAAATAAAGTGAAATATTTTGCTGTTTCACGGATCGAGTATACCCAGCTCAATGATTAAGATGATCAGTTTATGTAAAATTTCAACGGACCTATCATATCTGAAGAGGCTTGTTGCCATTTTTTGAATAAAACCTATTCTTAGTTAGAAGAAACCAAGCTATTTAGAATTTCGATTTAGTTAGCTTAGATATGTTTGCAATGTTTTCTGTGAATAAAAAGACATTAATTTAGATCTACGAAGGTTTGAAAAATGGAAATCCACACTATATATCATCCACTAAGTTTCAAACATTTGATTTCAACCGTATTAATTTATGTTCATTTACTTAGGTATGAATTGTGTTATTCATCCCAATATTGGATTGTTTTTCATAACAGTCAAACAATCATGATGACCACATAAACAAACCTTTAACTTGTAAATTAGTCAAACAATTATCATAAATAAATTGAAGAGTTGGAAAAAGTCATTCACTCTCGATAAAACTGATTGCTAGTAAAGGTTGAAGTAATTGAATTGCTTACAAGTGGTTACAAAATAAATATATATATATACATATGTATATAGTAGAAAAAATAACAATAGCAGTGGTAGTCTAAAGTGAACAATTTATTCTACATTACCTTTAACTAGTACAATCGACCTAAGCTTATAAATTTGTGTAAAGTGAGAGATCAAAGTAATTTTTTTTTACTGATTTCTATCCGCTTAATTTGTTCAGATTTTTATTTTTGCTCGGTTTTTCTACTATCTACTTATAGATATAGCCTATGATAAGCTTAGATGCATTGGTCACAAGTAAACACAAAAAGACAGACGTACTATTTATTATTAATTTTGACTTGAACAATTTCATCATTTTTTTTCTTAGCTGCCTCTCTCTGTCCCTTCACATTGTGCGAGTAAATTCTTTTCTTCTTTATGTCTATTTTATTTCATTGATGTCATAAAAATTCATGTCTTAATCAATCAACGTTTTATAAAATAATTTTCACTAGAGGAAGAAAGCGCAGAGACAAAGTGAAGAAGACAAATGCTAAGATCAAATTAACAATGCTAAATTTGATAAAAAATTTTAAAAAAACAAGGTGTAAATAAATGCAACTAACTAAGGCGTCCAATTCGATGACCACAATTTTGTTCATAAAGGTCAATTAATTTTCTAAAACGGTTAATTAAGGGGGGGTACGTCAATTAAAAAAAAAGAAAGATTTACGTGTTGGTTTAGATTGGACAAGTATCTGAACAACGAAAGATTCAGAAATCAGGAGTATAATTTCCTATCTTTTTCCCAGTTATCATGTGTGTATAGACACTTACAAGTCTTGTTACTAACCAAATTTAAGTCAAAACTGACTCGTTATCAGAAAACGGAGGCATTATTCATTAAAACAGTCAGATTTAATACTTTTTTCTGGTGACACAAGATAGAATTGTTAGAGCGAAACGCCTTGAGAGATGTGTGTGTTGAAACGATTTGAGTTTTACAATCAATCAGTTTTGAGTGTTTCTTGTGATGATGCTGAATGTGATTTTCTGAGTAAAACTTTTTTTTGAGATAATCTTTTCTTTTGTATAATGAATGGATTTTTTTCTGTTGTTATATAATTGTCGGATTGTTAAGAGATGGACTGATCCTAGATTAACTTGGGATCCAGAGGAGTTCGCTCAAATTCAAGAAGTCAGTCTACCAACAACAAATTTATGGATACCAGATGTAGGCGTTATGAATGGAAAGGCATCCACTGATTTTGATTTTAGTGCAGGTGTAAGAGGACGGGTTACTGTGAGCAATGACGGATCGGTTACTTGGCTACATGGTGCAGTTCTAGACGTGACATGCCCCCTTGATGTATCGTTTTTCCCGTTTGATTATCAAACATGTTTTTTAATTCTTGTCCCATGGCAAAGTGGTGAACAACAATTACTTTTGCAACCGTTTACACATGGTTCAGCAGTGGATAATAGTTATTTACCAAATTCTAATGTTAGCGAATGGGAAATTCAATCAGTTCATTTTGTACGAAAAAAATATCGTAGTGATATGAATGTCACTTATCAATATGTGAGTATTGCTATTCATCTTAAACGCCAGCCATTATATTTCGTTGTACTTGTTCTTGTGCCATTTTCAATGTTATCTGCTTTGGCATGTTTGATCTTCACATTAGATGATACAGGAGATCGATTATCAGTTGCACTTTCTTTAGTTCTTAGTATGACAATGTACGTAGTGATTGTGTCAACAAATGCTCCTCGCTCAATGAGAACATTACCTGTTTTAGGTAAGTTCAATTTACCTACCAGTAATCACTTTCTATTTCTAAATTGAAAATAATAATCTTATGCTCATGAAATTCCAGTTGCACACAACTAGTATGAACTAGTACTAAATTGTTTTGAACCGAATGACGTATAGAACAAAAAAAACTTCTCTAAATAGCCTATTATTCTAGATGGTTTTTCCTTCAAGTATACAAGTCGCCTTTTACGATGAAAAAAATTAGGAGAACAAGTTTTATGATTGAAAAACGAAATACTTTACCGGTTCGGTAGACCACACAAATCTCACATAAATATAACAAGTAAATGCTTAGTAAGGTGCATAAAATTCAGTTCAGACATGTTTAGCAGTTTGGTTGAATGACTAAAAGTGAGGGCTATTTTGAAAGCCAAAGTTTCTTCTGTTGTACTTTCTGTAATAATTAAGTTTCATTTTCATTGCATAACCAGAATGCCAAGTATTCTTTTCAATGAATTCAGAAATGGAGCACAGCTCATTTATCACAACTTTCAGTGCCAAATGAAATGAGTTATTTCGTGAATAAATATTCAAAAATTTTAGAGTAACTGGTAATTATGCATTGCGACATAAAATCCCCTTATATTGCATAGGTTACAGATCCATTGAATTAAAAATTTACCAGTGAATTGAAATGATGATACATCATTTTATTTATACTTAACGTTTTCCTTTTTCACACGCGCTGACTGTCATAGATTATACGCTTTAGATTACTCACAATCAGCTATGGTTTTCTCTATTTACCGTACGACTAAGTTCCCAGATGTCCGCATCATTTCTTTTAATCGGTAAGTGATAATAGTTAAAACAATACAATGATAATGAAGACTTCTTTTAATGTACCAGTGTCCATAAACGTAGATCAAATTCAACTGAACAGCTTAGTGCTTTCTTATTGAGCAGGATTACGGAAAATTGTAGTGACTAGTCTGTTTAAACAGTTTCTCAGTGAAATTTATATAGTCAATTGTGAAAACTAATTCGTAGTCCAATAAGTCAAACCTGTTTCATCTTAAAGAAATATCCGTTAAAACATTTGATTACTTTTGTTTAAAGGTATTTTTCTACTGGACCAACTTGGCCTCTTAAGCATTGCAACAATACTTGCTGTAATGAACAATAAATTATACCAATCAACAGAACTACTCAGTTGGCAAGATTTTATCTATGCAATCTCAGGCACTGGACAAGGTAAACGACGTGGTAGTGAGCCATACTCTGAACACGTTTATATTAATAAACACATACATGACAATCATCACTATAATGACAGAACTAAAACTCTACGCAGTAATACAGACAAACAAGAACCAAAATACAAGTCTTCATTGCAACAAACAAACCAGTCACTTGAGAAGAGTACATCAAGACAACAGAACTATTTTAAAAAGTACTGCAAACCAGTAAAACTTTTAACACGTAAAAGCAGCAAGACTCTTAATCATAATAATAATAATAATAATGGTAATAGCATTTGTAGCAAAAATAACAATCAATCAAATCGTTATTTTTCTACTCATCCTGAAAGTGGACATTGCATAAACTATTGTGATTCAGAAGTTATTCTAAATGAAACGGATTTTATATCAGACGTCAAATTTCGTCCTATTGACCCGGACTCTGATAGTCCAATTGGACAAGTAAGTAAAGCATCAAAACCTACATTTATGGATACCACTAATCCAAGTATCATTCATAATATTAATGCTTTTAAAATTAATAATGCTGACAATAATAACAGCAATATCAGCGTTAAACAAGATATAACGAAGTGTCACGATTACAGAATGCTTCACTCGAGATTACATAACAGTGAATTTTTTAATGATTCTTCTCATATTATGAAAAATAGACCGAAAGGAGGAGCTTTAGAAAGATCTCCTTGGAAAGAACACTTACCAATGTCATATGACCAAATCATGAAGCGAAAGTATCCGATGAAATCAGTGTACAGGTATGCCACATCAGCAACTGAAAGTTCTTCAAGTGATAATGAGGAAGACGATGATATAAACAGTGATACAGATGAAGTGCACAGTGACGCTTCAGAAAGAATATTCCGAACAACTGTAACAGCAACTGCTGCAGCTGCTTTGGCAGCTACTCGTGTCATTGCTTCTGGTTATAGTGTAACAAATCAAAATTCATATCAATTAAAATTGTGCGGAGCGAAATCAAATCCTAATGCAAACAAAAGTGCTTTTCTTCACACTTCCGGTATCTGTGAAGCAACTAAATCAAGGAAACACACACGAAGTGCCTTACCAATCAAAACGGATGAAGAACATGATCGCATGAATTCGAAATTAGCCGCTCAAGCAGCAATTAATGCAGCATTCGAAGCAGCTGCACAAACTTACCAACTGAGTAAAAAATACACCAGATATCATAATCATCGTCATTCATATCATTTTTCATCGTCCAAGTGTAAGAAACGCCATAAACAAAGCTTACTTAATAATAATAACGGTAGTCATAGTCACATTGATTACCTCACAGAATTGAATCCATATCCGTACCGTAAATTGGCTTCACGTTTAGACTGTATACAAATGATCACTTATCTATTCTTATCAACGATAAATGCCATTGCTTGTCTTATACTTATGCCTAAATACTCACAAGATTCTAATCCCCCAGCCCATTTAATCTCGTAACAAAAGAATAATTAGTTATAATAATTCAGTGTTTTATTCCATTGTTTATTTAAGTTAGAAAATAATGATCACAGAGAATCTCACTGACCAATCGATTTGATTTGTATGGGCTATTTGTCTTAAAATAAAGGGTATGAAACTGAAGTTAAAACCAACTTTTTCAACTGTATTTGCTATCACCAAATAATTATTAGCTCAGTAGTCTGCACAAAATAATATCGAATTAAAAATAAACCAGCTCAGTGGTTAAATGTTCATTTCAAGGTCTCGGTTTCGGTCCTGCAGAGCAGCAAAATTTTATACTACATTTGTAGTTAAAACTAGCTCTTCAAACATTAAGTGATTTAAAAATCAAAAGCCAAATGATTTTTTTTCCAACTGATAATGACTGATTTTCTAACTGAAATCAAACTAATTAAATCGTTAATTAAATTAATTATTAGTTCATTCTTTTATTTTCTCTGATTATTCATTGTTGTATGTCTCCATTGATTTATGTCGCTTTCTTATTCTACTTCTGTTCTAAACTCTCTGTTCTATTGTACATTGGAACATTGAAAATTGAATCCTATAAAATGACACTTTCTAGCGGTAGAAAAAATGCGGACTTACAACAGTGTATTATCTCAATATAATATGAACGATAGATTAAATAAATAAATAAATGTTCTCTTATTCACGTTTAGTTTTCTAATGACAATAATATTATATGTATGGATTAAACAAACGAACTGTTCTTAGTGTAAATATGATTGCCTGCATCATATAAAATAAGCTATGCAATTTAATTCCATTCATATTTGCCAAAAAATGAGTTAAGTAAACAGAATACTGTTTTTATTGTTATTATTATTATTACTATTATTGTTTACTCACTCTATTTTAAACACAATCATTTATTCTATCATACTTATCGCAACATAAGTTTGACATTTACTGACAGACTGAAATGGTTTGAATAAGGTTCGTTGGTTGGCCAATTATATAATTCGTTGCGTATTGGCAGTGACTAGCAGGAATCAAGAACTAAAGTTTCTCTGTAATTGCGAGAATACTAGTAAAGTATCTGAATATTTACTTAATCATACTGACTGAGATTAGAAACCGACTCCAACTATTTAGTATTTATCTACTAGACGACTGACGTAAATCAGTCATTGTGTGATGTTTTCAAATAGTATACACAAGAGTAATATTTTCAGTAGAAACAATTATTCTTTGTTGAGAGACAGAGTATATGACTTAAATTTTATGAAACGCTTAAGATGTGACATGGTTAAAAAACACACAATGTCTTATTTTAATCTGGCATTTGGCGACTACAAATGTGGAGTGGTAACAATACTTTAAGACAGATGAGCTCCAATAGACGAGTACCGAACGGGGTGAAACGCTTATTGTGAACTCCACAACTTCGTAACCAACCTAAGTTATCTTAAGCCATATGTAATAACAAACTTTATCGTTATTGTAAGATGCAAAGGCAACTAAAAGCTCACGAAAAGACTTTTAAAATGAAATCATCACACCACTCTCGGAAGTGAGCAACATTGAATGTGTTTAGGCTGACTAGCTCGTGTGATCTCTTCTTTGTCGGTAGATTTTCCTGGTTTACATGTTATCATGGAAATTCAAATTTCATAGAGAGTATAAACAGTAACATGATTATAACGAAAAATATTTTGATGAGAAATATTTTGGTAGTTATTATCATTACTATTATTATTATCATTTTGAACTTACACATGAGTACCTTGCTTAATTAAAGCCTTAAGCTTTATTCAAATTCATAAGGCACTTGCTCAAATGAATATATTAACACACTTACAAAATCATTTATTTCTGCACCACTTAAGTTTATTACTTTCTATAATATTAGATTAGATTAGTAACACGTATTTACACTGTAAGCATTTAACCAGTGCTAGAAAAAGGCATATAGAAAAATTTAGTCAAAAACAAATTCCAAACTTTGTTTTAAATCATGTGAGTAAATGAAGAAATATAATTTTATGAATAATATTCACAGTCCAAAGTAATATTTCCTCTGTGAAATGAAAATAAATACTATGATGAAGTTATGTGCTATCGTTTGGTTCATCATGCTTTCGAAAGCGAAATTAACCATTCTATATTGAAGCATTGTTCAAATTACGACTAAATTATAGGATTCTATTGTTTCAAAAGGCTCAGTGGTCCGATGGTTAGGCGTTCGCGCACAATACCGAAGGTCCTGGGTTCGAATCCTGCGGGGTGCAGGAGTCGTGGATGCGCACTGCTGAGGAGTCTCATACCAGGACGAAACGGCCGTCCAGTGCTTCCAGGTTTCTAATGGTGGTCTAACATTGGTCGATTCATGGTTTCAAAAATGTGTAACTTAACAATCTTCACAACCCCGTAATGCAAAAGATTTATTATCATTAAAAACTTTTCCATGTTAATCACTTCTTTTTAACCTGTACATTTAGAGTTCCAGTTAGAATAAGCAACTGGAATAAATTACTCGTTGACAGAAGATAAAACAAATAAAAGCACATGATGAGAATTCTTCATAACGTGAACTGGACAGAAGTTGATAGTTCGCAAGATGAATTACACATTATGAAGAGAAAAGTAAGCACTGAACCCTTCACATAGTATTGAAAAATGTACCGTGCTTCTTCTATCTTTAAGCAACAACTAGCGATCATAAGAAAAGGCATCTATCGAAAAAGCTGTGAAAAGATAGCAGCACTTTTTTAATGGAGCATCATGTATAGTTGTATTATTAGAGCTGCTAAAATGTTGATAGTAATTATTTCGTTGACTCGTCAATTGTATACAACTCTAATAGAAAATAGGCTTATGCACTGAGATCGATTGATAAGCGTAAAAACCTACTTAACAAAAGTACCCAAAGAAACTGTTAAATATTTAGGCAGTGATTTTAAGAACCATCTATTGGTTGATATAGGAATTCGTCAAACATGTGATTTAAATCCATAAACAACGTATTTAATATTTCATATCTATGAAAACAAGTTTTTCAGAGTATAGATAACGTTGTGCTGAATGTTTTGTTTGTATTCACGTCAGTGAAAATTTGACAATTATTTCCTAAATAGCCAGAAGACTGACAAAATCAGTTTTCCTTTTAAAGTCCGTAATTAAAATTGAGTTTTCGAATCGGGAACCAAAATTACCGTTAACGTTTCTTGTTCAAACAACTGAACCATTGATACATTCGAGTGTCTTACATCGGTAGCAGTTGCATTAATCGCATCCCCACTTCGTCACATTAACGCTTAGAAAAAACATCGTTAGTTTATCTCAGAGTAAAATTTTCACATAAGTAATCGATAGTTAAAGTAGTAGCCTGATAGTAAAGATACATGTTGCCCTTGATTATTTCCTGCAAAATAGGGTTACTCATAAAATAAACAAAAGTTCATGTGCAGTAAAGAATAAAACTGTTGACAGAATAAATAGTATAAGGTTTAATCTTATTTAACGTCTTTTCTGGCATTAATTATAAAAAAAACAATGACATCGAGGTACGAATTGTTGAAAGTTTTTCGGCGATGATAAAGTGTACTTTACCAACTCTTCAAGCACCATAGATTTTTTTGAATTTAAAAACGTTGAGCGAGGTGATGTGCCTTATTTTACACATTTAAAAAAATGAGTTTAAAGTAATCACAAAAATATATGACTGAGCAAACAGAGACTATAGAAATTTAAATCAAATAAACACCTCATAACTCTTCGCGTTAATGCACATTGATGTAGGAAACGGTCTGTTAGTAACTACTTTTCAAAAACCATTAGTCGTAAGCATATATTCATGAAAATAATCTTATTTACGACCAATTTTTCTTTACACAGTTATTGATAAAATATTCCAATTGTTGGTGATTCCTTCTTTTGAATTACTAAATCACAACTTTCAGATTCTACGAAATATTTCTTAATTTTCAGCGAGTAAAAACTAAACACTACTGAATTTGAGATTATTGCAATAAACAGACATAAAATAATTTCCAGTTCTGTTCGTCGATGCCATCGTTCTGATAATGGAGCGAAATTCAAGGTCTAATGCTAAGGAATGACCTACCTATTCATATTCTGTAATGCACATCGTTCACTGACTAATTGCTAAACCAAACAAACACACCATTTAACGTCTTCATATTGATTTTAGGTGAAATGAATAAGCAATGAATAGGCAAAAATTAGCAATCACATTGATTGATAGTTGAATTGTGTGCGAGGAATACAAAATATTATATAAAACAACATAGACATAGTGAAAGACATGCCATGTTACTAATTCAGCAACAATATTGTGTCAAACATTATTTTGGTCGGATTTCACTCATGTTGATGCAAGCATCATTTGAATGATTTCAGTCAGTAGTCATGTCCTAAGCTCTAAATAAGGCATTCAAAAAGTGCGGATTTTACATTAAAAAAATACGTCCTGTCTACCATACTACTACTAAGTAGTCTGTTGTTACAGCAAAAAAAACTAGTTTCAGTGAGGTGTGAATCAACTATCTAGATGTTGAATAAAAGTGCTTCATACTCACATCCTTTTGTCATTCGTTCGATGCTTAAGACTTTAACTCGTCCATTGGAAATAGGTATTTCTGATGCTTATTTATCAAACAGAATTTAATGATTGGTTTAAATTCGAAGTAGAGCTCAACACTTTAGTGGCCCGGGATCTGACTGAAGTTTCCACGAACGTTCGAGTATGAGATGGAATAATTCTCCCCTTCAATTTCCGTATATAATACTCATGAGAACTCCTTTTGTGCGATGGCGGAAATAAGAAACCGAATACGGTTTTCTGGATGAATTTATTTCATACATTCATTGAAGCAGACAGGCATGTGAATGAAAAGCGTACAAGCAAAGCAAAGCGAAGTGGAGAAGGCGAATGAGCTAATTCAGTGAGACAATGCATGAGCAATTACTTATAGTCAGTCAAAACAAGCTAGACATGTAATAAGCGAAGTAACCGATGCACATACTCACACAAATAAGCACAGCCAAAGTTATGAGCGAATGATTGACAAGGTCGAAAGGCATGCGAGTAACTTGAGAAGAATTGAATAGTTAATCTGTCCAAAGGCTGGGAGAAGCCTAGATGGCTCGAAATATTAGTATTTACCCCCAAAGATTATTTCTGAGATATCTCCCATCTGATTTTGTGTGCGTTGTTCGTGAAAACTACGAGTGCACCATCCGAACAGATTTCTTAAATGAACAGTTCTGCAGAATTTAATGTAAATTAAAAATATGTATTCAAACCATTCGACAAGTTTAGACAGTACACTGATGATATAGTTAGTATAACTGACAAACGCTAAAAGACCCTTACGGTGGATGAAAACAACAATCAATGATTGTTAATAAGATATGAAGAAAATTTAAATCTCACATGTATTGAATTCTACATACTCGGCGCCTAATCTGTGTCTAATAAAGTTATGGCATCTAGAATTTCAGATGAACGTTTTGGTTTTCTATTTGATTCTCATAAAGGAAATGTACTCGAACGTAAATAACTTTTCACTAAAAAGCAGTGGATGGAACTCCTAGCGAGAATTGCAACGAAACGAGAATCAACAACAATAACGTGAAACGAATGAATTAATCAGTAGTTATATGGGTTTAGTTGTCACTTACCAGGCAATTATTATAATTTTACGAATTTCCAAATTCACTCGATATATATATATATATATATATATATATATATATATATATAACTATATCCCCCTCATAACCTCAGATGTTGCGGCTTTCATATACCATTCAACTACGAGTAAAGAGAGACAGCAGGTGAGAGTAAGCAGTCTTGTCTAAAACCAGTATTCACTTTGACTGCATTTGTGAGCTGCCCTCTATGCACAATTCTGCAATATAGATGATCATAACTATCATAAACATGGTGATGATGTCCACAGGTACACCGTAGTATCCAAGAAGGCTCTATAATGTTCTCCTGTCCATGCTGTCAAACATTTTCTCATAGTCAGAGAAGTTGGTTTGGAGTGGTGAATTCCATTCGATTGATTGTTCCACAATGATCGCGATTCGGTCGACATCCCATCGGTCCTCATGGAATCAAGGTCATCTCGAGGTTAACGGTCTACTAAATCTATCATTCGGCCTGAAGCATATTCCTCTTATTGAATGTAGCAATGCCTATGTAGTCATTACACCTACTAAGATCTCCTTTCTTCGCTATCTTGAAGGGGTGCTCTTTTATCCAGTCTGTTGGTTCTCCCTCCCAACCAAATCTTGCTGCAGTGGGCATGGAGCATTTCTCAGTTACTTCTCTGGTTGAATTCAGTGTTAAAGCTGGTAGACTATATAATCCTACTGCTTTGTCACTCTTGATTTGACTGATAACCAAGCTGATGCTTCAAATGTTTCTGGGGTATTATTGTGATGACGTTTTGTTCTCTGAGATGGGTTTTTCGGTTGTGGAGCTTTCTTTGTTCTTCTGAACAGCATCATCAGCACAAACATTCGGTAGAAGTGAGGTGAAAGATTATTATCAATAAGAGTATCTGTTTGCTGCTTCTAAAATAAGTGGGTTCAATGGTGATAGTCTATTCAAGTGTTCTTAAAAGTGCACTACTCACCTGTTTCGCTGTTCTTGAATGTTGGCGATTTGTTTGCCTTCATTATTTTTCATCGGTCGTTCTGGTTTACTGTACTTTCTAGTGAGTTTCTTCGTTGTATCATATTTCCTTGTCTCTCAGCTGTTTTACCATTTAACGAAGGCGAACACCAGCTTTAATAATCACATCATAATAATCCGGAAACAATAGAATAAAACAGGTTGCTGGCCCAACTTTGATGATCGATTTGAATACCTACTATACATATGTCGAAAATGTCATGTGAAATAAAACTTAGGATATTTCATATCCAACCATGGTTTCATTTCCATGCAGGGTTTACGAGACAATTACAAGGAAAATATTTCCCTATACAAACCATTGTTCTCTACAAAAAAATTATGATGTTGTTTCCGATTCGATTGAAACGTATCCACCCTCAATGATTTCCGTAATAAATCAAATAAATAACGTGAGTTTTTTTTCATGAATAAGAATTTACAATTGTTTAAACGATGACTGTAATTACGAAAATATGAGACAGTGATATTCATCAATATAACATGTGCTTTTAGAACAATGGGAAATAAACGAGAATTAAAAAAAAGTTCACTGTTCGTTGTTTATATTGTTAGGCAGCGATAAAAATAGTAGTGAATAAAGGAAAGTCAAGTAAGTTTAGTTCCGTGATTACATTATAAGGCTTATAACTGACATGAATATAATGAGAAATGGTTACTTCCAAAGCATTTGGTCATGAAATGTGATATGAACATGATGTTCATCATTTCCAATAGGACCTTGTAATTCTGTGATTGCTATTTGATTGCTCCCCAGTTTCAAAAATGTTTTCGGTACATACAAGCGAAGCTGCGGTCCCTGTTGTTGATTGAATCGTCCTATATTATGACCATTGATTGATATTATTCCCTGTAAATGAAACAATGACAGTAACAAGTACAATTTCATGATTATGTAGGCTGCGTATAACCACCATATAAAAAAATATGAGGTGAAGTAAAATATTTCAGTAAGACATTTAACGTTTTCGGAATGCTATTAGACATTATTGCAGAAAATGGGCAAGATTTCACATCAAAATAATAAAAAATTGCACGCTTTGAGATTCTATCTTTTATTCAAAAATAAATTGATACAGATGAAATGCTTAAGGCGAATCACGTACCTCTATTAATGATCTTTCTAACACGACTATTTGATAATACAAATGTTAGTATATTTATAAATTTTACACAAGAATATTCTCAAGTCTTTTCCAGCTATCCATCAGAGATGATTAGATAAGAAGGCTCCTGTCAGTGTGCTACAACATTAACCTGCATTCGACATACATCAATCCAATCTATACACTTCTAAGAACCTCATTTATAAAAAAACCAAATACTTGTCTTAAAAGCTCGTTTTTTACATTTAGAAAAAATCACAGGACAGAATTTCACAGAACAGTAAAAATTCATTTGTTAGCATAACTTTCAACTTGTTCGGCATCTTTTCAAACAAGGTGGATTCTGAAGTTGTTCAACATTCACACTCAGATATGGATAGCGCTAAAGTCATAAATTTGAATAACATTCTACAAAAAGCGAATTTGTGTCTGTATAGTTGAGGGCATCTAGAATTAAGAGTATTTCATCACTTCCGCTCTTCGATAAACGACGCGGAGTCCATAATGATGTGTTAGTTCGATACCAGGTTGTAATAAGTGAATCAAGTATTCGGTAAAGGAGGCGGTAAAAAGTTAACACACTAGTCAGCCAGATTTTTCAGAATAACTGGATACACTGTTCCAAGAAGCAAAATAACCCACGCATCAAATGTACACTTTACGTAAAAATCTATTAATTAAATCAACTTCTATAGGCAGAATGAGGAGGTTTCATGTTTGCACTGATTTTCAAATGAATTCGGAAAGTTTATCCGTGTTTTTTGGACATACTGTCGTATGAATGAATGTTAAATACTTTTTTAATATGTTAATGTAAAATTAATGTACATTTTGACATTTACATCTTAAATATGTAACTTTTTACTTACTCTTACAAAACTATGAGGTTGAATGAAAGTATCTGCCAACTTCTCAGCAATGAATGCTCCATGATATATACGTCCAGGTACTGGCCATTTATTTTCTGACAGGAAATGTTTCCTTTTAAAATAGATAAACAGTTGTTAAAACAACGACATGAAATAAGTTTGATGATGTTAAATTCAGTTTAAAATTAGCATTAATGTCGATTGAGAAACTAGTGAAAATTAGTGATTACTGGACAAAATGTTTAAATTTGTCCTAAAGTCTATGAACCTTTTACAGAATATAATCTACAACACTGATCAATCCAGTCAATGAGGAGAGATTGTTTCTTTGCAAGAAACTGTCTTTGAATCATAAAACATATTCATACAAGACAACTTGATAACAGGATCTACATTCTGAAAAGAAATCATTTTTTAGAAAGTTTGACTAGGGATTTGATTTGTTTGATTGACTAATAATATTTAGAATATGCTCTATTTAACAACGTCAGTGAAAGATTATTTTCTCTAGTGAGTAAACGAAACAACTTTAGAGCAAATTATTCGTTTAATATAGGAATAAAACAAAAAATGTCCGAAGTCTATTGTTAAGAATTATGATAAAAAGATATTGGCTTTGGCTTTCCCACTTTTAATGAGAAATTAATTCATAGATTTACCAAATCAGCCTACAAAGAGTTGTTAGTTACTGCAGTGCAGAAATATTTATGGTTGGAGCCTAACAGCAAGAAATGCAAACAGTCTAATTTCCACTTATAAAGATGCATATAACTATGATATACATCATTAGCATGAACAGCAGGGTCTCTCTCTTTAACAGGTTATGACAAAAGTACTTTTTTTATCAAGCATTCTCATATTCATTTATCTACTTACAAATAGAACCTCTTCCAAACGGATAGATGTTCTGCACTGTTTATAACTAATCCTTAACTGTGCGCTTATAAACTAGAACTTAGTAAAGCAGAGTAGAACTTCAGATATACGTTTCATGCACATAGAAATCGTTCATTTTACTCCTGTGAGCTATAGTCTGTGTATAAAAATATCATGGTCAAATATCCACAGTGACGATTCCGAGTGAGTGACATACAAAATATCAATAACTAATATAATCTAAACTGTGTCACTTTTAGTTAACGTAACTTTCATATCTGTAGAGTTAATAACTGATGAAATCGAGCATTGACGGAATTCGCAACGTTTCAAGAATTTCACTGAGTTAACTATATGGAGTTTGGACAAGGAGGCTAATTAAGTATTGATACAGTAGCAAATTCAGTCGATGTAGAACGTTGCAATTTCGTACGCTATAACTAACTAAAGTTGTAGTTATATAATTATATCGAATGAAATCTTGATGTAAATTATTCATTGGTTTTGATTAACATAGTAACACAAAACATTTTCAGCCGTATACAATAAATGTGTTGGCCAGTAAAATGAAAAAAGTAGAACTTTTTACCTACATATCAATCTGTAAAACTGGTAGGTTTCATATTACAAAACTCAATCGGTTATTTAACTTTCAATAGACGAACTGAAATGACCAAAACCTTTTACATTAATCATTATTGAACACATATATAATTGTAGACATAAATACACACCATTACACCTGCTATTAATTGATGAATAGCTAACAGATAGATTTTATTAAATTGTAACATTGACATTTACACCAATTAGAACACAGTGAAAACAGGTTAAGTACCATCAGAGGTAATTGACAGATCTGATTAGACCGAGAAAGTTGTTCAGTGTGTTATGTACAACTATTAACACTAGTGTCAAATAAAAATAGGAAATTAATTGGTTGATGAATTTAGTTTTGAGAGAGAAAGGATGAGGAAAATTGACATTTTCGAATAATAACATTCTTCGTTGTTGACATTCACAATAGCTTTCAATTCTAATGCTTGATATATCATTTCATTAAACCGTAGGTTTTCTTTAGATAACAAATAAAGGAGATCATTATATTGCTTTACAACAGGTTATATCTATCCGAATCGTGTAAATGAAACATCACTAGTAAACTCGTCAATAAATTATGGTTCTCTTTGAATTCCGTGACAAATAACTGAGTATTTTATCATTCAAGTCTTGTTCATGCTTCGTTGTTCATATCTCACTTGAAAATGAATACGCCTCATCGAAAACTACGACCACATACATTTGAAAAGCTTTATACATTTAGGTATATAAATCTATTTTCCATAGGAAAATAACTACAAAATCAGATTCATTATAAACAACAAATCTCTGTGTTTCACTCAAAAGCAGAAATAATCTCACTTAACAGTAAATACAGTGGGCAGGCTCTCATACACAAAGATTCATTGAAAGGTTGAAATCAAAAAATTTATCGAAAGGACGGTTAAAGTATGTGTATAAAGTGTTATTTAATTACTTACTATATATATATATATATATATATATATATATATATATATATATATATATATGCATGTATTTAAAACCATGATATTCTACTCACGTTATATTCGGACTGACTATAGCAAACGGATCTTTAATTGGAATCATACTCCAATTTAGAAGTTCTTTTCCATTTAACATTACCGGTCGAGTAATGCCCTGGAAACAAGATTTTAATTGCAACTTAACTTTACAGAAAATAAGGCAAACACGTCTTAACAACTGTTTTTGTCAAATATGACAAAAATGTTGTTACAAACTGAAACTAACAGGCATTTACTAATATAAACACATATTTCAACCATTTGAATCATATCTATATAATATATTATCCTTATGCTAACTAAGACACGACTAGATATCGGCGAACGGAACGTGAACCAGTGATACAATAACAGGATAGCTAATCTATTCTCTGTGGATCAACACAGCTAACTAGAAGAAGACGTTCAAGTAAACAAATTCATGAGCTACATCAAGAGAAGGAATTTACAAGCAATGAATTCAAGTGTAATTTATGCAATACGAAAAGCATCCTTAGAAGTCATGAAAAAGCCTATTGTAAGAGAAAACTAACTAGTGAGGTTTAAGGCCCTTCCATTTGGTAAATACGAATTGAAGATAATAACGGACGATATTAGCGCGAAAATAAGGTATCCGAATTTCTAAAAATAAAATTAAGAGGATTATTAAGGAATTTCTCAGGATCTAGCATCACCAACAAAACAATACCACCTGAAGAAGCGATAACTGACTTGTAGTGAAATGTTAGGAGCAAAAGAAGGACCAATTATGAGAGTGATTATTCAGTCCCTAAGTTCTGGTTATCCTCATGACAAAATCACTAGCTTTAAGCATCCAGTTCCACTGCACGCTCAGTTAGCATTTTACTCTACCTAGTTTGGTTTGCGTGTTCGGGTAGTATCTCAGCGCACTCAAAAGTTCACTGATTTGTGCGGCACATTTATACCGATGATTATGTGTTTTGAATAAATAAATAAAGAAATCAATTAATTAATTAAGGAATACAGTTTAAAACGACAGTAATATGAGGTTTTGAATCATTTGTAAAGTATAAAATAACTAGATAATTCATTCTTTAACATACCTTGATATCTCCATACATACCACCGCCATAATTAATATGTCCAGCATTTTCAGCAATTATAGTAATGTTAATTACATCATGCACATTGTTTAATTGGACTGTTTTATTTGTACTTCTGAGTGAACCATGAAACGACTTTAAAAAAAATAAATTGTTTTCAAAACTCGCAATATATCAAGTATAGTTCTGATAAAAATAAAAGTACAAAACATGGCGATTGTGTAATAAGAATGTTTAGACTCTATCCATGAAGCGAATAAAAAAAGATGAGAATACTTATCAACAACTCGGTTACTATATGTCTAATGGTTGCAACAATAACTTTTACAAGTCACGTCACTTAAATAACCATAGGCTTGACGTTCAACCAGTGGAAATTTGATAGAAAAGCATTGTAATTAAATAAAAACACACGTCAATTGATTATGCTTTCTTGAAGAAAACACTTCCACATCATGTCATCGATTTCATATAGAGCGGTACTAACAGTGAAAATAAGATACTCACAACTCATGCATAGTTACAGGTAGCCAGATTATCCCAATCAGGGACCTCAGGTTGAGAATGGTTTTTATAAAATATACATACTTCATAAGCACCCTAAGCATCCGAAGGATTATACTGACGACGATTTAATCTACAGTAATGTCTTTATTAAGTAGTTGATTTGAGCTGATCGGAGTTCAGAGAAAAACATTATCAATAAATATAACCGAACAAATGGTCTAGCATATATAAGCTAGTGTGCAACCAAGTTTCATCAGGTCAAGTGGTTTATTTTGAACATGGCATTTAGATTAATTAAAAACTAAAACAGGTATTTGAATGTAGAATATTATTTTCAATAAATTCTTATCAGCTTCCACAGTTATATAGTATTTCAACTCGTTTTTTTCTAATTTTCACACCAGAAATTTTCTTAAAATTTTCAGTCTTTTTTTAAATAATCACAGAGTTTTTTTTAAATTCCTTATAATCCTTACAGTGTCCTCATACAACGACTAATTATCAACTCTGAATCAAGTAAAATTAAACGACAGATATATGCGCAAGATTTTATGACTATCGAAGACTCCTCCATAAAAGCTTTTATTGATGAATCATCCTTTAATTTGTATTTGAGAAGAACTTTTGGAAAGTCTACAAGCGATTGCTAAAGAAGATTTTAATTAAAAAATAGTATTCTTTTTATTTTTTAAAAAACATTTTAAAAAACGCTGTGAAAATTTTAAAATAATATATCTAACTTACCACGACAATTCTACAGTTGTGCTGTGTAGTTTTGTAAGTAAAATTTGCATTAAACTGGGCTATTTGTTTATGATCATTGTTTGGATATATAGTATTTCAACTCTTTTTTTAAAATTTTCACAGCGTTTTTTAAAAAATTTTATAATCCTTAAAATGTCCTTATACATCGATTAATATCAGCTCAGAAATAGTACTGTTTTATTTCTTAAAAAAACATTTTTAAAAACGCTGTGAGAATTTTAAAAAAAGAGAGTTGAAATACTATATATCCAAACCCAGTTTAATGCAAATTTTACTTATAAAACTACACAATACAAATGTAAGACTGTCATGGTAAGATAGATATATTATTTTGTCAATTAAGATATCCGTTTACTGACTAAAGGACGAGTGTACTGCGCAGTACTTCGCTCCGTCTTACTTTATGGCTGTGAAACATGGCCAATGAGAGTAGAAGATATTCGTAGGTTATTGGTTTTCAATCATAGGTGTCTTCGAAGCATTGCTCGTATATCGTCGGACACCCGAGTGAGCAACGCTGTTATTAGGAATCGGGTGCTAGGTAAGAATGGCAGATCAATCGATGAAGCGGTGAAACTTCACCAGTTGAGGTGGTTGGGATATGTGTTGCGTATGCCCAACCACCGACTGCCTCGACGAGCTTTGTTTTGTAGTGTAGGAATAGGTTGGAAGAAAGTTAGGGGCGGCCAAAGCAAAACATGGCATAAATCCATGAAGTCATTGACGAGTAGACTGAGCCATGTCGGTAATTATCGACTACCTGGTTGGAGTCCGCGAGATGCTAATAATCGATGGTTAGAGACCGTGAATGACATGGCTCAAAATCGTTCGCAATGGTGCCGGTGCATTCATTCTCTGTGTTCTCTCAAATCCTAATCTTCTGGATTCTTCAACACCTCTACTTTTGACTTTCTAAACTTTTCTCACTGAATCATACTTGTTGAATAATATCTTCTAATCCTCACCTCTCCGATTACTTCTAATACCCTTACTAACTCTTCTACTATTGGATTTGAAATGACAATTACATCTGTGTGCTGATGTGGTATGGCGACATGAACTGATGCACTTACGTACGAAGTTCTACGTTGCAACTGACTGACTGACTGATTTTGTCAATTATCTCTTTATTGTGTATCATACAAAACTATAGGATTGTCGGTAAAATAACATTGGGAATTTTAAAATGGCGAGTATCTAGTGTTTACACGTCAAATGAAACCATAAGATTAATAACCAGAGTATTTATATACGTAACATAACAATGTAATTACATATGAGACTAATGTACAACATGGTCTGAGAAGTATGACAGAAAAGAGTTGTCTCATCCCTAAACATTCCACTGGCTGTGATCACTGAATTAACACATTTTGTGGAAATTAAACAACCTCGTATTGTTATCAGTTATACCATATAACTCGGTATTACAAGCTTGTGTTATGCCACAATGTTTATTCACTGCTTGTTTGTGCAGTGAATTCGTCTACTGTAGTGATAATGTGATCATCAACTTCAAGAGTTACATGTTTACAAAGAAATTTGAAGTTTACTTTAGGTATTGAATAGATTGAATTCATTAGGTAGCTAATTCGACAATGGTATCAATTGGTTTAATTTTGATAGAGATTTCAACGGTCCTTAGCATCCTCAATTATGGCCAATGAAGTCATAACGTTAGCGTTTATTCTTATGAAAGAAATAAAATCTGAATTGTAAAAATCCTGTCACACTGATCTAGCAACTTACAGGCCTGGGACTACATAATTTACAAGCACTTGGTAAATACTTTATCACCTCAAAATATTCATCGTCAAACTAAAACTTTTAACTGGAGACTCACACAGTAACTTTGCAAGCTTCTAAAGCAACCCTCGCCTGATAAAGTAAATAAGGAGAAACAAAAACCACATGCAAAGGTGTAGTACCGAATAAGGTTCTCACAATTTATGCATATCCATCAAATTGATCCAGACAAATTGGTGGTAATGATTCATTGATAGGATTTAGTCCATCACCAGATGCTTATTACTTTACTTAGTATCTTCAAATATCATGAGGATTGTTAGAACTCATCTAGCAACTTTGCCATTTGTTGAGTGTATTCTCAACTACGAATATGGAATTATCTCTCATCTACACCGTAAGATTCTGTTTAAAATGTAATGCTTCAGTATTAATAAGTATTGTGCTTGAAAAGAATTAAGTATCGGCAATGCTGTTAGTCGGTGAAAGTGATCTGGAAATACCTGAAGAAATTTACAGGCTTATCCTAGGGTTTTCAGATATCTACGGTTGGTGACTTTACATGATGGAAAACGATTCTATAGCTTGGAGAATAAACTGAAACATTTCCCTTTATTAATTATGCAAATATTTATTGTATTCAATATCGCTGATGTTGAACTGTCATGGATATGCATACATATGCATGCATGCATGCATGCATGCATGCATATATATATATATATATATATACGTATTTGTGAATAAGGCAATTCTTTAATAAATGCTTACAAAATGTCCAGATTTATCTCCAGTAAAAATATGAGCTATATCCGAGATATGGGAGAACTCCAGAAAAATAGATCCATTAGGTGGAATTGTCACCGGAATTGAATAAATCATATAACCGTCATACTGACAAAGAAAGTTAAACAATAATCAAGTAACGTACAAAATGCTCTACAGAAATGTGTAAAGTGAATAAACACATTGTTAAAAATAAAGACTTCATGATTGACATTTGTGTAGTACATCACTAGAATCTTTAATATGAGTACATCGTTGCTAAGACTTTCTAGAGATATGGTCAACACTGTCTGTAGTCCGATCTGCATTAGTGTGCGAACGTTGAAGGAAGCCAGTTTGAATAGCATACCTGGTATCATAAAGACTGACTCAAAATTCGTATTAGGTGATAGCATCCAAATTTCGACCAGTCAGTAACTCGAAATCATTTAGATAAGACAAGATTTCAACCATAGGTAAGCGGCTGTATGAGTTGAACATTAAGGAATACTCAAATAATAAACGAAGTGACGCCATTTAAAATGAAAACGAATGTAACCAAAAAAAAGTACGATCTATGGAATTGATGATTGAAGTGAGCATAAAATTTTCCAGTTACAGCTGTCATCTAGTTTGTATATGGGCTATTATACTACACGGGTGTCTAAACCGAAGCATGTGGTTTTCTTTGGGGGTCGTTCCTCGAGCGTTTGACCCAGAGGCCTGGCCCACAAGGCAGTGAGTGGAGCGACGTCAGGGGTTATAGTCCCATGGAAGCCGGTGATCAACAATAGGTTCATACGCCGATTTTTCTACTAAATGTTTTTATTGGCTGACGCCATATTTCGGTTTGGCCACTCATAGATTTCTTTCACCCTACTCCTATAGCAACATACGTAAAACGTGTCCTAACCATTTGAGTCGATGAAAACTCACTATATCGCCAAACGTTTCGCGATATTTACTTAGTGCCCTGCGTCTAACTCGGTGGTCTCAAACTGTACAAGAGATTCTTCAAAGATATCTTGATCGAATACTAGTAAGCGACGAATGTCCTCCATTTTCAAAGATCACCTTTCACAACTATAGAGCAGAATTGACGAAACCACCGTAAAATCAATCTTTAGTTGGCAGAACCGTGTCTTGCTTTGCTACTGATGATGCTAATTGGCGAGGTTTAACTGAGCTTTCTAAATCGGTTCCATGTTTTTATAAGACATCAAACTCCAGGACGGAGGGCATATTTAAAATAAGTGAACGACACCCTCAACTAATTCTCTCCTTATGAATTAGACTATACAATTATTACTAGCGTTAAGAGTAGAAAACGTAACACTGAATATGTTACTGTGCACAGATATCTCATGGAAAAACAGTGCAATAAACTTCAACAAAACTTTGATAACTTATGAATTGATCAAATACAACACAAAACTTTGATAATAACATGAAGGTACTGATTTTTCAGCAGAATCCTAAAACAATGAGAAGGCTAAAGTAAGCTGCTGTCAATACGTCATTCACTAGAAAGTCACATGATTAATGTTTACGATTTTTATAGAAGGCTTTAAACATATGCATACATTTAGGTGATGATAATAATATGCTACGTTACATCTGTGTTTAACATTACCGTTACGATGTACACATGAAAACCAATAAATAATCAAATCCTATTAAAAGTTATGCTAATCATCGTTCTATTTCATAACCACAAGGCAGATCTACTTTTATTAATTTGAATCCGATCTACCATGATATTCGAATACATGAACGTATCCACAAGCGTAAACATCAAGGTAACCCAGTCAATTACAATGCACCAGAGTGAATGCGTTGGGTTTACAAATAGAAGTCCCATGGACTGTTCGTTATGATTATCTGGAATGACAGTTTAAAATATTACCGAAGCTATATAACGTCTTCTACCATTGTTTCGGTTTTCTTTAAAAGTATTTGCCAATTAAAAACATTCTCAAAAGTTACTGTCAAGAAGACTGTTAACGCGATAGCGGATTCATGTACAAAATATTTCAGCGAAAGTCAAAAAAACAATACTTTTAGCAGCTTACCTGTCGCAAATATTCCATTGTAAGAGGAAAAGTATGATAAACAACAGGGCCTTTAATTTCTAGAAGATGAGATTTCTAAACGTTAAAGAACAGTGAAAACATTATTGGTCTGAAGTTTTTATCACATAATCGCAGTGTTCATTTATTAAAAATTAGTGATATACACTCAAATTCAAAATGACAATTATTAATCACTCTAGACATCTATTAATTGACCAAAGTGAGACTATTTGTTTTATTGTTAAAACTGTTTTCGGTTGTGTTGATTACAATTTAGCTTATTTTTTAAACATAATATTATATCAGTTAATCTAATATGGAGTCCATAATTAACACCCCCTGATGAGATAAACGGTGTATAGCAGTTGAATCCAGGCTAAGCATTTCGTCCTATTCATTCTAGGACTCGAGAAGTAATGGATTCAGATCCCATTCTACGTTTGTTATATTCAGCTAACGAGTCCGAAATAGCACGAAATACGTAGCCTGGATTCCCCTGCTAGCCATCGTCTTTGTTTATGATGCTTTTGAATTAATGGCAATATCGAGCTAATGCGCACAGGATGCACAAATGTCAAAACAGACTGAATAACTACAGTTCTAAACATTAATGAGAATATTCAAACAGCCAATACAAATGATTGATCATTTTAGTTCTATTACTGAACGAATAGAAAGAATAGATATTAGCTGATTTGTTAATCAAACAACCAATCATCTACTTAAATGAGTGCGCTTACAAACGTTTCGCACTTCGAAAGTGTGGAAAATTTCTCCTATCTGTATTTCTTTAAACTGAACTCTCCTCCCATTATATACTACTTTTGTTCATTTATTTTTATTAATTTGTTATCTTTACTTATAGTTACTCTCCTTTCCCTAACCTTTCACATTGTTATTCCCTTATTTGTGTGTCGCACATTTACTTTGGTGTTCATTTGCACTAATAGCTATGTTTAAATATATAAATAAAAATTTATCCACATTTTGTGATGTATTTAATTAAACATACTGAAGAAAGTTTGATCATAAATATATCTTCACTTTGACCATGCCCTAGTAGTTTCTAACTCAATTTTTAATGCTGATTGTCGCTATTCGAATAATCTCACCTTTGGTTTAATCAGCCTTTTTATTCTCTTATCAGATAAGTTCGATTGTTCGAAATGTGCTCAATCAATTACATGCATCATCTTAACATACTTGAGAAATTTAAACAAGGAAAATACTTATTTCAATGGCATCAATAGTTTTTGCAATCGGCAATTTTTTTTCAAAAAATAAAAGAACCACTTTCATGGACTTCTTTGTGAACTAAGAGAGATAATCAAGAATTAGATTGGGAATATTTTTGTTCACAATGAATCATCATTGTTAATTCCTGATTGTAAACATATGGTCAACTAACTACAGTTTCTTTTCCAACTGTTTTGGTAACTAACTGCAATGAATAAAAGTGGTTCATTTATCTAACTTTTTAATCACGGTGCTGATTCATTGATATCTGGAAATTAGAAAACACAATTTCCGTCAACAATGAAGTTGATATTGACAGACGATATGTCAGTGTTTACTTTCTAAAACACTATTAATGAACACAACTATTTCCTGCACCCCTAGTCCCAATATTTCTACAACAAGTATGCATTTACGAGAAAACATTCAATATTAATCTGACTGATTGCTTAACTAAAACAACAGTATATAAAGTTATCACAATCTTTAATAACAGCACAACAACAAAGGATAACTAAGAAAAAAATATTTGGATAAAAGAAAGGATGATCGACGAAAGAGAAGACTGACTGTTAACATAACTAGTGGAAATTTGACTAACAAATTCCTGACCTTTTGTGTTGTAAAAATGGAAAGCATATGAAAAACATGATAGCAATATAGGTATAAATGAATGATAAATGAATAAAGAGTTATAGAATACAGAGTTATAAAATACTGTTGCTCATTTTTTCTACCAAAAAATGATGAACATGTTTTATCTTGATAACATTCTAAAACCATGAAATTATATTCTTGTTGTTCTTTCATATTATGTAAAAGGAAAATATGACTTTACATAAAAAACCACCGCTGAAATCTTCACTCTACCTAGCTGTCACTGAGTAAAACTGAACGAGTCAAATAAAATCGAATCATCTACTGAAGGGTGTGAGAAACCAAAGTTTGCATATTAATTATCAAGCAAAAATCAATTTCGAGAGGAAGATTCGTTTATTGAACAAAAATACTGACTTACAAACTCCATATTAACATGACCATATGAAATCTTTGTAGTATTGCTCGGTAACTCCGGTGGTTCAATGCCTTTTCTCTTAAAAAAATAACAGAAAACTCAATAACAGATTTTGTCAAGAATACTTAAGTTATGCTAGCCTTAGTTACAATCGAAACGAATGATGTCCTTCACTAATGAGTGAGTAATGACAGTAAGTATAATACCATTGATAATAAATTTACGTCTTAATGATTTGGAGCCAAATCAAATAGGTTGATCGTTCCCCCGACAAAAAGTCAATAAAACATTAGACGTTAAATGCTAAAATCATTCCATAGATATTCAATGAATAAATACGTACTGAATCACGACCGCCTTTTTATTTGTGTTCCCTGTTTTCCTCTTATTAATGTCAGTCATACACCATCAATTTACAGTCTGCACAGATTTGTTTTGGCCAACATTACCATACCATAGTAGTTCGAGGTGAAGTTAATAACATAAATAGCAAAGGAATGAAGCAACATAGTGTCAATGACAATGAAAAAGACTAAGCAATGAAAGTAGGCTTCAGAAAGAACGGGTGAGTGTATGACTGAGAGAATTCAAGATAGAGAGGAAAATATATGAGTACATTCGCATTAGTCCTAAAGTCTAAAGACACTGATACCACTGTCGCATGAACCACAATAAGGTAGTTTTTATTGATTTACATGGGTCAGAATTCATTAACAAATGCCACGTTTTGGTTTGGCCGCCCCTATAAACAAATTCTACACAAGCAAGCATCATTTCCTAGGTTAAGGTGTAACTAGGCATGCGTAATACACATATTAATCATCTCAACCGATGAAGATTCATACTCTTTCTAGTACCCTATCCATAACGTCAGCATTGCTCAATCGCTCTGTCCATGAAACGTGAGTTATGGTAAGACTGAAAATGCGGAAAATGGACAATCCTGACGAACCCTACTATGAGTTGTCGATTCCCATGAGTTCGACACAAGCTCTGAATCGACTAGTAGTGTTAGGACTTTCATAGGGTTTGTGTAATTCTTTGGTAAACCCTTTAGCCACAAAAAGTGTTACAAAATCTCTCATCCAACAAAAATCAAATGTTGCTTTAAGGTCAAACTCACAACTATGTTTGGGAACCCACAGTTTCTGTGTTCCAGAACCCGAAGAATGAATACTTGGTCATTTCATCTGATTCAGGTCTGAATGCAGACTGGTTTGCTCGAGCTTGCTCTTCACAAGCGTCAAAGTTTTATTGATGCTAATATTTTAGACACTGCTACACTGACTTTCTGTGGATATCACAAAAGAGTGTATTTCCTGTCTCACAGACTGAAGCGACGAAAAATCAAAATCAGTCAAATGAATTTGCGTCCAGTTCCCAGACTCTAGTTAGGATATTAGACAGTTTAGTAGCTAAAACTGGACATTCATCCTTATAGAGCCACTAGGGTCTAGTGTTTCGCCTAGTTTTAGCCTTTCTAATCAAATTAAATATTGTAAAATGGTGCCAATTTTTCATTCAGGTTGTTTAAAAATAATATGTAACCGGTGGCCAGTTGAACTGTTCCTTAGTGTTCTATCCATTGGTCTAATTCACTTGAACTGAGAGTAAATAATAGTTCCATCTTCTCCAGAGTCATTGTCACTAACAGCTGCCTTTTTAATGTATCTTTTAATCAAGCAAAGTGTACTTCTGATATTAAACTGGTTGAAGTAACGGACAAGCAGAAATGAACAGTCGAGTAGTTCCTAATTATTATCTGCTTGTTTAGTTGCTGAACATTTTTGCGAGTTTAAAACACTTTAGAATACAATTATCTTGAGGTTAAACATGAATAAGGGTTTGGCCTAGCTACAGCGAACAATATGCATCATATACTATTGACTTTAAGTTATTTTAAAAACTCAGTATTATTCCTAGCCAATATAGTATCTTTCGTAGGCCCCATAACTTCAGTGGAATGTTTTCGATGAATTAGATAGTAAGATGCCAAACTATAGCAGTTGGTGGTTTTAGAAGCAACACATTATAACACAATTATACACACCAGAATTGAATTCGGAGAGAGGATAGATATCTATATCAAATCTTCATGTATTACACGAAACAGTGACACTTACGCGGAAAAGTAGATCTCTTATTATCACATACTTTCTTGTTATATCACCAGCTTCACTGATTGGAGCATCATAATCATAGCTTGTAATAGATGACTCAGGTTTTGCGCCACCGTTCCAAAATCCGAAATTAGTCCCTCCATGAAACATATACCTTTTTGTAAAAAAGAATTCAGTGGCTTAAAATTTTCATTTAATTTTATAAAACTTTAGTAATTAAATTAAAACACAACGTTTTTCACAAACAATAAAAGAATCATCATGCATCAGTTGTATCCAGATTAAAGAATCCACTTAAGTATACAAACAATTCTACTTTACTATGAACTAGTCACTTCAAATAACCTGAAACGAACAAAAAAAAAAATAGTTCAATCTCGAGATGTTCTCATATAGTCATGCGTTTATAGACCCTGCTGAGGGGTCCTACCACAGCGAGATGACAAGTCGAGTGTCTAGAGCTTAAACTAGGATGTTGGATATGAAAGGTCAGTCAGAGACAACGTTGAACTTCGTACGTAGGTATATCATTTACCTTTGTCCTACCACATTAGCACACATAGAACGAATAGCCTATTCAAACACAATAGTAAGATAGGTTATAGAAGTATAAACTGTACACAAAAAGATAAGTCATCGAATATACCGTCTGAGAATTATGACCAAGTGGAATCAGTTTCTTTGAAAACGAAAAAACGGTCAAGCGGAATTCAGACGATTAGAATTAGAGAACAGACAAAAGGAAAGATGAACCTATGCCGTAGA